AAATATTTCATGACTTTGATAGATGATTCCACTAGATATTGCTATGTGTATCTGTTAAATACCAAAGATGAGGATCTACACTACTTTAAAATCTATAAGGCAGAAGTTGAGAACCAACTCGAAAAGAAAATTAAACGAGTCTGGTCAGATCGTGGTGGAGAGTACTTCTCGAAAGAGTTTGATGCCTTTTGTGCGGAACACGGTATTATTCATGAGAGGACGCCTCCCTACTCACCCCAATCAAACGGGGTTGCCGAGCAAAAAAACCATACTCTAACTGATTTGGTTAACGCCATGTTAGATACGTCGGGTTTATCGAAGGCATGGTGGGGGAGGCTATACTGACATCATGTCATGTCCTGAATAAAGTTCCGACAAAGGATAACGAGATCACTCCTTATGAGAAGTGGACCAAGAGAAGGACAACACTCTCGTACTTACGTACTTGGGGCTGCTTGGCGAAATTTAATGTGCTGATCCCCAAAAAGCGTAAGCTTGGACCAAAGACTGTGGACTGCGTTAATTTGGGCTACGCTATGAATAGTGTTGGCTATAGATTTCTAGTAGTGAAATATGAGGTACCTGACATGAAGGTCGGTACAATTATGGAGTCTAAGGATGCTACATTCTTTGAGGACACTTCTAGACAGGAATCTGAGGAGACTCCTGAGCCTGCCATTCCTATGGAATATTATGAACGAACACATGATGAAAATCCTGAGGAGGATGACGAGGAAACCCTTGGTAGGGGCAAGAGACAAAGGACTGCAAAGATCTTTGGTGATGATTTCTTCGTGTACCTCGTGGATGATACTCCTACTTCTATTTCAGAAGCGTATGCCTCTCCAGAAGCTGACTACTGGAAGGATGCGGTCCGTAGAGAGATGGACTCCATCATGGCTAACGGGACATGGGAGATCACTGAGCGTCCCTATGGTTGCAAACCATTGGGATGTAAGTGGGTGTTCAAAAAGAAGTTTAGGCCCGATGGTACGATTGAAAAGTACAAGGCTAGGCTTGTGGCCAAGGGCTATGACCTGGAAGAAGAGGAAGATTTCTTTGATACTTAATCACCTGTGGCTAGACTGACCACCATTCGAGTATTACTCTCGTTGGCGGCCTCGCACGGTCTTCTCGCCCACTAGATGGATGTTAAGACGGCTTTTCTAAATGGAGAGCTAAACGAGGAAATCTACATGCAACAACCAGATGGCTTTGTGATAGATGGTCAGGAAAGAAAGGTGTGTAGGTTGCTGAAATCTTTATATGGCCTGAAGCAAACACCTAAGCAATGGCATGATAAGTTTAATACAACTCTGACATCTATTGGCTTCGTTGTTAATGAAGCTGACAAATGTGTATACTATCGCCATGGTGGGGGCGAAGGAGTCATACTGTGCCTGTATGTTGATGACATACTGATATTCGGAACCAACCTCAAAGTCATTGAGGAGGTTAAGTCATTTCTGTCTCAGAACTTTGAGATGAAGGACCTTGGTGTGGCTGATGTTATCTTGAACATCAAGCTACTAAGAGATAATGAGGGTGGGATCACACTTCTGCAATCCCATTATGTTGAGAAGGTGTTGAGCCGTTTTGGATATTCGGACTGCAAACCATCTCAAACACCATATGATCCTAGTGTGTTGGTCTAAAAGTTCGAAGGCACAGCTAAGGATCAACTGAGATACTCTCAAATCATTGGTTCACTCATGTACCTAGCAAGCGCAACGAGGCCTGACATCGCATTTGCTGTGAGCAAACTGAGCCGGTTTGTTGCCAATCCGGGTGATGTACATTGGCATGCTATTGAGAGAGTTATGCGCTATCTGAAAGGTACTATGAACTACAGACTTCACTATACCGGATACTCGTCGGTACTTGAAGGGTATAGTGATGCGAATTGGATCTCTGATGCTGATGAGATGAAGGTCACAACTGGGTATATGTTTACTCTTGGAGGTGGCGCTGTTTCCTGGAAGTCTTGCAAGAAAACGATCTTAACGAGATCGACAATGAAAGCAGAATTAACAGCATTAGACACATCTAGTGTCGAAGCAGGATGGCTTCGTGATCTTTTGATGGACTTGCCATTGGTTGATAAACCGGTTCTGGCTATCCTTATGAACTGTGACAATCAGACTGTTATCACCAAGATGAAGAGTTCAAAGGACAACATGAAGTCCAACAAACACATAATAATAAGATTAAAAGCTGTTAGAAAATTAAGAAACTTTGGAGTGATAGCGTTGGAGTATGTCCATACGGCTAAGAATCTAGCAGATCCCTTTACAAAAGGGCTATCATGTGTTGTGATAGATAGTGCATCGAGGGAGATGGGTATGAGACCCACATGAGTTGCCATGGTAGTAACCCAACCTATGTGATCGGAGATCCCGTGAAGTAGGACCTGGGAAAACAAGCCAGTGGTGAACTGAGGAGAGTAACTTTACTAACCCACTCCGTTGGAGATGCAATACTCTCGGAAACTGTATGGAAGGATGCCTACTGTCTTAATGTGTTCCAAGGCTTATATGTATAAGCAAGATGCTATCCTATAGAGCAATCTTTGGATGAACACACCTATATGAGCCCGACTGTTGGTCAGAGTCTATGAGATTGGGGTGATCTCTAGCAAGCTCATGAACAGGCCAGGAGTGTGACTAATATGCTCCACCCGAGGGGTCGGCCTTCGGCAGCCTCATATCAGTGAGACTTGTGGTGTAACTTCTTGACGCCAAACTGACAATTCAAGGCATAGTCCATTGTTCAGTTGTGAAGGAGTGTGACTACTTGGTCTAGGTGGAGCTCAACCTTAATCGGTCTCCACTGAGATGCTGGTATATCAGAACAGCGTTTGGAACAAAGGACAAAGTGGCCTCCTGAGATCAGGTGGGGGATTGTTAAAATATGAGATGTGCCTAGAGCTCATATGACAATTTCAGATTTAATCTGTAAGGGCCCATGTAGGTGGCATGACAAGGTGGTGCGAAGTTTAGTCCCACCATGCTAGTGGAAGGAGAGTTGGAGTGGTTTATAAGGGATTCTCTCCCTCATGCTATTGGAGCTTGAGAAGAAAAGAAGCCCTCGCGCACTCCTCCTCCTCCGCCCGCCTCGCCACACCACGTCACGTCACGCCGCGTCGCGCCGCGCCGCGGCGCGGGTTGCGGGATTGAGCCAAGCTCACTCCTATGCGCTTCTTTTTGCCGGTCAGGAACGAAGAGTCTTTGACAGGTAGGGCCATGATCTGAGACGTCGGATCATGGGCTACCGACTTGGATGTGGGTTCAGCCCACGTCTCTCCATGCGCGGCCGCACATATATATGTGGGGTGCTGCCAACCCTAGCCGCCGTGAAATAGAACGCATCTCCGCCTCCACGCCCACGTCGTTCCTCTGCTGCTGCTGCCGTCGGTGACTCCATCCCGTTCACGGCGTACACGGTTGATGGGAGAGCGGGCCTCCGAAACCCCGCCTCTCCGGATCCTGTACGGGAGAGGGCCGATTAGGTTTTTGGGTAGCGACTACGCGACTGCTCGCTTTTGTTCATCTACGTCCGCATCACCTTCGTCATCACCATGTCGACCGACGCCGACCGTGCCGCTGCTGAGAAGGCCGAGGCCGACAAGAAGGCCGCCGAGGATGCCGCGGCTGCTGCCACCGTTACCGCCGCCGCGTGGCCGATTCGAGGGTATACATCGCTGATCCCTCTCGTGTTTCTTTCTGTTGTAGCAGTAATAGCGATATGCGTAGATGTTTCTATTATGTGCGTAGTACATATTTTGTTAGATCGTAATCAGTGTGTTATCAATGTTGTTTATGTCATGCTCATGATTTATTCATGGATTAATTTAATCAAAAAACTGTCTATTTATTCATCAGAAGCAAAACTGAACTGGAGCTTTTCCCTTTACATGATCATCTTCTGGGCGAATTGATATAGATTGTAGTGAAGATAGGTAGCTTGACAAGAACCTGACCAAGACATCCACGGGGGCGCAGGCTTGGAGTGAACAAGTTCATTTCTAACATGCCATATCCTCCAGAAGAGCATCAACAGTCACACCCTTGTAGACTCATCAATTTCGCAAAAAAATTGAATGAACCAATCTGGACCAGTCGGTTTGATAGTGGATGCATCAGTTAACGTCCATACAGCAGTCATGGCTCGCCATAGAGTTCTTGCGTTTGTATGTCCTTGTTCATATGTCTTTAGGTTGGATCTTTTTTCTTTGAAAACAGGTTGATGTTCTGATGCGTTGGTCCTATGGAGCCTTAGTACGACAACTTCCGAATTGTCTACTATAACAAATTGTGTCCGACTTCGATGAGGGAGGGGCGATGACGGCGACGCGCATTCGGCTCGCTTCAGTGCTTGTAGTCGTCGCTAGATCGTCTATGAATCTCGATATAATTTTTATTATTTTTGGTGTTCGTTATACTGCATAATTGAAGATAAATAGATAAAAAAATTCAAAAAAAAAATTCACACAGTTTTTTTTGGAAAAGAAATCGTACAGCTAATCTCGTCGACTGAGACATAACTAATTCTCGGTCGACTGAGACATAACCGATGTTTTTTTGATTCGGAAGCAGGGTGGATACGGTGTGAATGCGGCAACAAATACCGAATGGACTAGTAGTATACTCTCCAGTCGTCGTCTTCATTCTTAATTTACCCATGGAGACTGAGACACACGCCCAATCATGTCCGGCCACGGATCAACCCACTGATCGAATCCATTCGGGCTCCCAGCTATCTGCATTCCCTCATCGATTTTACACGGCCGCGATCGAGCGACGGTCGCGTGGCTGTAGTGTACTGTGTTCAATCATCACAAATGCCACCAACCGCGCGCGCCATGGCCTCCATGGCTCCTTCCTGCTTCTATTTAAACCCGGCCTAACGCTCCTAGAAACAACCACGCCGACTGCCAACTGCCAACGTACGTCACTTAGCACTAGCACACAGACTAGCAAGCTAGCTCAGCTCACTTGACAATGACAATGGTGGAGGTGCTATCGTCTGAGCTGGTCGTCCCGGCCGGAAAAACGCCGGGGGGCAACATCTGGCTGTCCAACCTCGACCTCGCCGGGAGGAGAGGCTACAGCCCCACGGTCTACTTCTTCCGCCACAACGGCGACCCGAGCTTCTTCGCGGCCGACGCCATGAAGGACAGTCTCGCAAGGGCGCTGGTCGCGTTCTACCCGCTCGCCGGCCGCCTGGGTCTCGACGGCAGCGGCCGGATTCAGGTGGACTGCACCGGCGAGGGCGTGGCGTTCCTGACGGCCCGCTCTGAGCACTACGCGCTCGAGGAGCTGATGAACGAGTTCGTGCCGTGCGGCGAGATGCGTGACCTGCTCGTGCCGCCGACGCCGGCGCCGAACCCGCCCTGCGCCCTGCTGTTCGTGCAAATCACGCGCCTACGGTGCGGCGGTGTGGTGCTCGGCCAGGCGATGCACCACTCCATCGTCGACGCGCGCGGCGCCGCGCATTTCTTCGAGACCTGGGCGAGCATCTCCCGCGGCGGAGGCGCGCCGACCGTGCCGCCATGCTTCGACCACACGCTGGTCGCCGCGCGCCCGGCGCAGTCGCGCGCAGTGCTGTACGACCACCCAGAGTACAAGCCAGAGCCGGAGCCGGTGGATCCCGTGTCGGCCGCCACGTACGCGAGCGCCATCATCACGATGACCAAGGGACAGGTGGGCGCGCTCAAGGCGCGGTGCCTCGGCTCCTCCGTGTTCCGCGCCGTGGTGGCCCTGGTGTGGCAGTGCGTGTGCCGCGCCCGCGCGCTTCCGCCGGCGGCCGAGACGTGGCTCTACTCCATGGTGGACATGCGCGCGCGCCTGGACCCGCCGCTCCCGGCGGGGTACTTCGGCAACGCCGTGATCCGCACGTCGGTGTCGGCCACGGTGGAGGAGGTGGTGTCGAGCCCGCTGGTCCACGCCGCGAGGCTGGTGCGTGCGGCGACGAGCCAGAGCGACGACCACGCGAGGTCGTTGGTGGACTATCTGGAAGGGGTGGACACGATGAACCTGCCCCGCAGGGGCATCTCGCGCGCGCACCTCCGCGCCATCAGCTGGCTGGGCATGTCGCTCTTGGACGCCGACTTCGGATGGGGCGCGCCGGCGTTCATGGGACCGGCGCTCATGTACTACAGCGGCTTCGTGTACGTGATGAACGCGCCGGGCAAGGACGGCGCCCTTGCGCTCGTGCTGTCGCTGGAGCCCGAGAGCATGCCTGCGTTCAGCAAGGTGTTCGCAGATGAGCTGGCCCGCCTCGACGCCGGTGCAGAAAAACCCAGTAGAGGCCTTTCAAAAATGTAGTTACCGGCGCCGAGGAGACAGGCTAGCAGTACGACGCGTGTGATAAGCTCGTACTACCGGCGTCAAGCCAAAACGTCACTCGTAGTTGTATCATCGGTGGCGCTGGTGGCCAACGCCGCCGGCATATACAAATAATCAGTAGCGCATCAAGTTAGTACACGTCGGTAATACAAGTCACATTTGATGCGGACTCGCTTTGACCTACGGGTCCTCAATATTAGTAAATCCCTATTGTCAGATAACCCCTAACGTGTTACGCTAATCTCATTAAAACATTAATTAAACTAAACATTTTCAAATGAATTAAATTAAACATTGGTTAAGCATTAATATTAAACTACAACTACTATTATTAAACTAAACCTTTTTAAATGAATTAAATTAAATGTTAGTTAAGCATTAATGGGTTGTTGGCGTCCATATATCTTCTATTGTTATATTAATAAAGTAGAAGACAAACATGCCAACATGTTCGTTCACATATATTAAATTATCTTGATCGTTAGTTTTAGGTACTAACGGGTGAGATTTAAAAAAGTTGTGTGACATATAAATAGACCATAATAAGTGTCAAACGTGTGGCACGAACATATGGCAATTCCAAATATTTTTTATGGCAAATTTAGTGACGCGAGGATGACAAATTTAGTTGCCAAGCACAACAATTTTTTTGAGATGGCAAGCTTCAGTTTTCTTTTTCTTTTTTTCTTTTTATGATAACTTTAGTTTTAGAAAACATGGCCCAGATTGCCATTTGGGTATAAATATTGTAACGTGCGAACGTGTCTAACAAGTCACATACAAACCACATATGCATGTTTATATTAGAAAAAAGGCCTGTCCGAAACAAGAAGAGAAGGTACAGCATTTTATATTTTCTATAGAAACAGAGACACACATATTTGGGCCAACTCATATGCCTTTTCATTAAAAAAAAAGTCAGTCCAAAACAATCAGAGAACCATTCAACTTTTTGTATTCTTATCTGCAGCCGCCCAATGTCTAAAAAGAACACCTCCTAGCTTTATTATTCCTTTGTTAGTAGATGATGTAAGTTTGATTTAAGTTTATAAAATTAGTCGGCCTTCCCCCAAAAAACACTGCAACCGCTCAATGTCTAAAAAAAACACATATCACCCCTCTTTGCTTGGCTCGAATAAAAAGACCAGTCCAATCACCCAGAATAAAAAAGAAGAGTCCGGCTATAATACATATGCTGATGTAATCAATGATTTAATCAAATTAATCAATCCAGAGCTTGGTCGAACCTCATCCAGGTGTTAGACTTGTTCTGGTTTCTTGTTTATCTTCTGATCTGCTTTGTAAAAAGGATCCTCACCATATCGTATCTATAATAACCCGGATTTTTAAGGTTATTAATTAGTTCCAGAGAAATGTATAATTGACTCATAAAAGTGTATAGTAATTCAATATCTTTTATGTCAGAGTTAATATGACTGAATGTTACATGCATTTGTCATGTGTTGTAAGAAATACCAGTAAATCAACTACACATAAGGAAGAAAAATAGAAGCAAACGTTCTCTTATACTAGTTGTGCTGACAGCACTAGCAATCAAGTTCAATGCATAGATTTATGCATGCATGTAATAATGATGAGATGTAATGTGGCATAATACTCCCTCCGTTCCTAAATACTAGATAGGCAGCGCGCCTTCGCACGGGGTGCCTATCCCAACACCGTGGCCAAGCGGATAAAGATCAGGCGCCATGATGCGTTAGTAGAAAGGCGAGTTTAGCACACGTATTAGACATGCCAACTAATTTTCTCTTTCAAGAGAAAGAAGAAACACTCACTCTATACAAGAAGCAAGATGCTAAAAAAGGACATCATCGAGTTCAGCACGCTCATAAATTATAAAGGCGTGTACATAAGCAAGAATCGTCAAGTTCTGTACAGTCATGAGATTACAAAAGCTAATAAGTTGGCATTAACTCTAGAACTAAGAGCAGGAGCATGAGAGAGCAAAAGCCTAAGACACAGTTCTCAAGGAAGGATATGATTCAGTAAAAAGCAACAATATCCAGTATAATGCTTCATAAGTCTATAGAGTGGATCATAAGATTGTGATGCACGATATAGCAAAAGATATCTTGCATCAACATCTCTTGCCTGCCTATGCGACGGGTGATTCAATTGAAATTGCCCCATGCATCCCATTGGTTCAGCACGGCAAATCCAAAATTATGTTTAATCACTCGGCAAATCATCACATAAGTCGATGGTTGTAAGCCATGTATTTTTATACATTTTAGCTTAAAACCAAACCAAACTGGTGAATGAAATGATATGACATTTCATCACAAAGCATAAAGACCCAATTCATACCATATAATCCCGTCATAATGATCGCACATGACAATAAGTTCATTACAAAGGATAGAAGTCTAATATACCAAAAGCAAGGCAGATTGATAGAGCAGTACACGAAACTTGTATTGTTCGGCCACGGCATAACATCAAACTTCATATATATGGATAGAGATAGTTTGGTCTGACTGGCTTGTCGCCCGACTCCTCCCTGCATTGTAAACACCTGTTGATGGACATTATGTGTTACACAAAGAATCCATAGAGTGTGCCATATGAACATCATCACAACAAGAATACGGTTCTTTTAATAACCCTTATGAATAGCAAGTGTTAGTACAATGGCAAATGAGTAGCTCCTATTATTACTACCCGCGTAAGTGAATATGCTAAATAGTCGTGTTAACAAACGATAAAAGTTAAAAGCTGATAATGTAAAAGAAAACATGATTATAACACCAGCAGAAATAGTTTGGTAATGTCATTGTAGCAAGACAAAAATTTCATGTAGTTCTTGATAGGCATAAGTTATCATAGTTCTTGGCATGCATGTCTTTTAATCGAGGGACATTCGGAAAAATGACTTCAGCTCTTAGTCATGAAATGCAGAAAACAATGGGCGATTTATAATATACAATAGAAATACAAAACATGATATGAACCACTAATTTCTGACGTGTGATGGGAAGCACTGATTTAGAAGATATGAGAATGTTTGATTTAAAATTATATATTTCTTTTATATATATGCTAAGGCATCACATCTACATATCCAAAACTATCATGAGAGCAAAAGTACATACCGGCTCCGAAAACAAATAACAAAGGTTGAGAGTCAAGAGCTTCTTATTCAAAGTTTCACCTCAACTATGGCCTTCTTGATGTTGTCTTCTCCTCATAATGGCAAGGCATTAGCAATTACAAGCCAGTGAGTGAGCATGACCGAAAAAGCAAGACATCCGAGCCCGATTCCTTTTTAGGTAGGGCGTGGTGCATTTTTTACATAGACCATATCCAGAACATAGTAGTGCATAGTTCCTTAAAAGTTGTACAAAACAAACGGCATCACACTACAGTAGATAGGCATGCGCGATGAGACCCCAAGCTAGGATCACAAATGAATTAAGCAGCTAGTTGCAGTCAACTTCTCACCTCTGTCTCGCCTCCTCTGACCAGTTAGAATTTTTATTATTCTTCATTTATCAATACACTACACATGAATGCCTTGACTGTGCTCTAGCTATGACAGTGGTCTACAAATTCTAGATTTGTATTCAAACAATGGGTACAGTCCAGTGCATGAACTTAGAAGCTGAAAGAGAATACCAAAGGTTGCAAGGATTACATTTCCTAGTGTTTTGTAATTTTCTTCTTTGATATATGTAAGAGAGCATAAAAAATCACATAGCTTGTTTCAGATATTTTGTCACATTAAGTAGTTCAGGTAAGAGGGAGTTGATCTTGAAATCTGAGAGAGGGGGTAGAGATGGACTTGTAGTTCATCGGTAATCAGTACGACGACATCCTTGACGGTGCCCTCTGGTAGCTGGTGGTGGTGATGTCTTGCGCTCTCTAGTACCTAGTTGTGGTGTCTTGCGCTCTCTGGTACCTGGTGGTGGTGCTTTGTGCTATTCCTAGCTAGTACCTCACATTAGTGAGGCATGTAAATGAACCAAGTACTATGTAGAAGCATATAAATAGAAAAGGAACAAAGACAATGGTATACCTTCAGCTTAGACATGACATCAAACAAAAATAATCTTAATTATCATTACTATTTCCATTCTGAGTAAGGATGGACAAAGAATGACCCATATATAGCACAAGCATGACTCAGGAGGTTCGCAAGAATACAAAGCCAGTCAGTTATGCATCTAGCACATCACACCAACAAAAGTAATGTAGCTTGCTTTACTTGCCAAAAGTTTCAAGAGTAAAAATATGAAATTCAACTGTTAGAAACTATAACCCTCCATCCCTCACGCCATCATCATGTCACATGTTCTCTCAATCAACATGGTAACAAATAAGTAGCAAGAATTAACTCCCTTGTATAAGGGAGATGATAGACATTGTAGGTTTCAAGCTGTTCTCTACAACACAATATTGAAACTCAGGGAAGGAAAATATGGCATATACACAACACATCTTCTCTGTTTCTTCACTTCACAGCAATGACAACTATCATGTTAAACTATTCTGTCAAACTTCTTTCTTCACGATGATACAACCATAATTAGTTATTTTCTTAGTGTGGTATATGCAAGACAAAACAACCGTGTAAGTTGTAGAAAGAAGCAAAACCACCTGGCATTGAGTCTATCTAAGTACCTAAGCCGATCTGAATGCAAACTGAACAACTATGAACCAACTTAACTAACGGAGCTATATTGCACAGTGCGGAAAAATTATAGATACGATGGCCCCCACCTCCACCCCGCCGCCCCCTTAACCCTAGCCACCCACCCCGCCGGTGATCAATCCATCTGACCGTAGGTTTTGCCATCTGATCGCCTCATTCTCTCCGGCGCTCGCTGATCTCTCTGTTGGTTGTCGTCTTCATGGCGGTACATGAATCCTGTTGGGGAACGTAGCAGAAATTCAAAATTTTCTACGCATCACCAAGATCAATCTATGGAGTAATCTAGCAACGAGGGAAAGGGGAGTGC